AGAGTGGTGGGGTTGGTCTCATTGTGTTCACAACGAAGGGGAGTTTTTTTCAGGTCAGTACTCAAGATGGTTTGGACCATGCAGCAACGTGTTCATTCATGAACGCAGGCGTACTTTCGACAAGCAACCTCGCTTCATTCATAAAAACAGATACTCTCACATCCCCCCGAGCATGCTTTTGCCTACAAGCGTCTTTTCACGACGATGGCAAAAGCTAAAAATCATAAATTGAACAAATTTCTGATATTCCCTCTAAAAGGGAAAAGTGATAACCCCGCAAATATGAGTATTAAAATATTTTAGAATAAAACTGACAACATACTGCATCTCACGTTTTTTTTCTTAATTTTTTTAAGGAAAACGGTAATTTTTTTTAAATGCATAGAAATTATTTTTTTTTGGTACCACTCTCTTAAGTACCACAATCGCTTATGTACTACAAAGCACAAAAAATCTGCAACTTTGGTTTTGGCACTTAACCGGGACTGACTGTATTTGTTAAAAAATGTACGTAAGTGCGTATGTAAATATTTGAATTTTTTGTACACACATCTGCCCGTATATATGCACATGACTTGTTGACTTTGTTTCATGGATGACATGGATGTTTATCCAGAGAACGTAAAAGAACAAGAAGGTGCAGGTTCGACATCGAACAATTTGTAGGAATTTATCAAGGAGTTCACCACACATGCGCGAGAAACAAATAACATTTCTCGCTTTTATAACAGCGGTGAATCTGTACACATACGCTCTCTTAACATTACCAACCGACGAATATTGAAGACAATATAATATGTATATATGCAAAACTGGGAATATTGATATGCCATTTGAAATTTGAAATATATTCCCTTTTATTGAACTATTATTTATTATTATTTTTAAATTATTTTATGTTAATTCATTTTTACTTTATTGTGAATTATTAATAATAATTTAAACATATTTTGATATATTTCTTAAAATAATTAATGTACTTGATAGCATTATGGAGTCTCAAAAGTACAGAATTGTGTTTTGCCGTCGGCATTTCACATTCATGCTTCGATTTTTCTTTTCAAATGCATGTGTAAAAGTAATTATGTACGTAAATATGTACTTCTTTTTCGTTTTGGCCCATTTTACGTATTTATTAAAGCAAGTGTCAATAATTGCGCCAAAATCAAAGAAATACAATCAAAGAGTCAATCTGTCGAAGGACTGACGCGAAGACAAAGCGTCATAACATTGTATTGTTGGTAGAAAATCCGAGATGTGCCATACACACTCTTACAAACATACATCGCATATGGGCAAGTGCAAAATCAACCCCTATTCATATACAACGTGGCATGCGTAAATGAAAACAAAGTCAACAAGTCATGTGTATATATACGGGCAGATGTGTGTACAAAAAATTCGCATATTTACATACGCACATTCTTTGACAAATACAGTCAAACCCGGTTAAGTGCTAAAACTAAAGTTGCAGTTTTTTTGTGCTTTGTAGTACATAAGCGATTGTGGTACTTAAGCGACTGGTACCAAAAAAATAATTTCTATGTATTTAAAAAAAAATTACCGTTTTCCTTAAAAAATTAAGAAAAAAAAACGTGAGATGCAGCAAGACACAGGCAGATACTTAACCGGGGTTTACTGTATACATAAATCAGAGGAATATTGAACATTTTCTTTAAAAAGTTTCTTGAATTGTAAATCGACAAATATACTATGTTGTCACTTTTATTTTAAAATATTTTAATACTCATATTTGAGGGGTTGTCACTTTTCCCTTCTAGAGGGAATATCAGAAATTTGTTCAATTTATGATTTTTAGCTTTTGCCATCGTCGTGAAAAGGCGCTTGTAGGCAAAAGCATGCTCGGGGGGATGTGAGGGTATCTGTTTTTATGAATGAAGCGAGGTTGCTTGTTAAAAGTACGCCAGCGTTCATGAATGAAAATGTTGTTGGTGTGTGATTTACTACAAATTTAGGATTTGTCAATTTGGCTGCCATATTGATTTCTGGTGCTGATGCTATTTGAGACAATTGTTGTTTTTGTACAACAATGTTTGTATTTTGCCCATTGGCTGACGTACTTACATTTGTACGCTTAAATGTATGTAGATTTGTGTATGCATTACTTATTTTGCGCGGTCGTACGCATATTTGTACATACATACTTACATATAGAGCAGTGCGCTCACATGTTTTCATTGATAATTGATAATATATTATTACACGTATATTATATAATATAACATATTGATGTAAATATGTACATACATAAATTATTAATTTTGTAACAACTGAAATTAGAAAATTATGAAAATAGTAAAAAATCATTTCTTGCATAATCTTTCACATTTTATCAATGTAGCATTTGTGCAAAAAAATCATATTTTATCAATTTTTCATCATAAAAATCGTTTATATGGCAAAATATAATCATGCATATGTGAAGAGGCATTTGTATTTTTTGTTTTCTCATTCATTTCATTTCATTTTTCTCTTTATGTTGGGAGATACGTAAGTTGTCAGAGAACGCTGTTATAAATTCTCATTTCTGTTAACTAACAGAAAATGGTGAACTCCTTGATCTCAAATTTTCAGCCAACCAATCGAGCATCATACAAAATTCAATTTGCGCCTTCTCGTTGTTTTAAGTTCTCTGGATATACGTTCTCTGGAAAAACGTGGTTGCAGGTGATTTTAACGCATCGGCTTCGGAATGGTGCAATGCCAGTACGAACAAACGAGGGGACGCTCTGCTCAAGGCCTTTTCATTGCTGGTACTATTATACACAGGAAACAAAAACAATTTTCTTAACTACGTACATATATATGTTTGTGTTCGAGTACATATGTGTTTTATTTCTATTCCCTGCAAGAAACTGCTGATGGGTTCACCAATACACTCACATTTGATATGTCAGTACTGACAGACAGTTTACTTGGCAGCTGACCGTCACTGTTATTTTGTAAACAGAGACATTTTCGAATTATATTGCTTACATGTGTAAGAATGAAAAACCATATCAAAAAGGGACGCATAAAATTCCATATATGTTTCTCCACAACTGCGCAAAACATTTTACTGTTCTTCTTGCCACAAACGAAAGTGTTGCACACTTCTGTGCAAAACTCTTTTGGGTTATTTGTTAAAAATATTTATGAAAGAAAGGTGTTTTCAAATATCATATACATACGTAAGTTAAATAAGTTTCAAATAAAAGTATATATTTAAATTCAGAACTATTGACTGATTGGAGAAATACGTACGCAGAGCTATTGAGAGGAGGAGATGGCATCAAGTGAAAATTTATTTTTATATATTCATATATTATTATTTAATTATATTTTTTGTTGCATTTATTTTTATATTTAGGTATATTATTATAACTAACTTTGATTAAAAGTTAGAAATTTATTAAAAAAATAAAAATTATATTATCTACTGCGCAAAAGAATTTTTCACTTCTGATAGCGTTTCAGTCATAACTGACAATTTTCAGCTATGACGGATTTATGGTCAGCAATGACTCAGAAAAAGACATGAGAGTGAGCAGTATAGATATATGTATAGTGAATCAATACCGAATATCCATGTGTTAAAGAGAGATGCAAACTCACACATATACGTTTGTTTACATCAGTTTTTGCACAAGGCTCTTAAGAAAATGATAGAAACTTTGTTCTGCGCGCTGACAAAATTTTTTCAGCTATGACTGTCATATTACCCATCAGATGACCGTCACTGTTCTTGTAGGGATTATATACTTCAGAAACTAATGCATGGGTTTTTTACAATTGCTTAAGCGCATTAGTATTTGGTGCACGCATGTTTTGTATATTGTATATTGTCATGCAATATGGGGTTGTTTTTAAGTGTACAACTCAAAGCATGTGCATGTGTGTATATTATCTATTTTATAAGATATGAATTTATTTTTGTGTGTAAATTATTGTCTATTGGTACCAATCTTAGCAGTCCGTCATTTTCGTCCAAAGGGAATTCAGACGGGACTTCGGCGGCACACCTCGAGTAGATGGACCATTATGAGGTTGGTAAACAGGGACCGTATCATCGAGATCTGTATGTTCGTGTTCAAGAAACATCGCTGTTCATCAATTCATTAAAATTCAGTTCCGATTCGCAGCTTATCAGCGCTACTTGGAGTTAGTAGTCGGTCATAACAACGAATAATTCATGATGATTTAAACTTGTTTTCGTACGATGTTCAAATAACAAGCCGGTTAACCCCTCTAGATTTGCCTATTCGCCTTGAATTTAGCCAAAAAATTATTGAAATGGCCGAAGAAGATAATGACTTTATATATTGTCTGTTTATGTCTGATGAGGCCTATTTTGATCTAAACGGAAATGTAAATATATGTATATATGTGGTATCTTGGTTTATTTAATACACGTCTGGACGACGTGATAGCCAAAATCCAACTGACATGCTTATCTTAGGATTTAATATCATATATGCTATAAACACAATACGGGCGACGGCGAATATTCGTCGTACTCGGCGATGCCGTCAGACAGATTTTCGCCGAGTGTTGCCGCCGTGTAAAACACAATGCGGACGATTTTCGCTGCAACTGTCAGTGCTTGTCAACTGTTAGTGCTTGTGAGTCTAAAAAAATATGAATCCGCGTATTTTTCGTTTAATTCAAATTTTAAAAATGTTAACTATAATGTTAAACATGTGTAAAATATACATAGATTTTAAATCGCGTTCAGGAAGAAGATGGTGGATACGACCCGTGAATTTAACAAGAAAGGAATTAGGGTTTCATGATACTTGTTTTAAACCGCTGAAATCAATGGATAAAGAGCACTTTTTCCAAGCAACAAGGATGAGTGTTCACAAATTTAATGCTCTTCCTTGTTTGTTAAAAGACAAGCTCCATCGGTGTTCGAGAAAAGAACCGATAAATGAAGAAACACGTTTGGGAATTACATTGATGTAATTAATATTTATAATTTATATTAGCATTGTAAATAACAGGCAGTTATATTTAGGTACTTATCTCAAGGATGCTGTCTTAAATTTCTGGCATGGTCTCACAAAATTGGACTTTCAACGGTGAGGAAAATTATTTACGAAACCTGCGCTGCAATTTGGAATGAATTACACACAGTTTATGTTGCTCAACCAAACCAATCCGAATGGAGAAACATTTCTGAAAGGTGGGCTTTACATTTTTGATAAATAATAAAAATTGATTCCCTAAATGAGTTTTTTTTTTTATTCGTAGATTTTATATAAAAACCGGAATGCCGCACTGCCTAGGTGCTATTGATGGCAAACATATTAACATAGTTTGCCCGAGACGTAGTGGTTCACTTTTTTATAATTACAAAAAAACATTGAGCATTGTTCTAATGGCAGCTTGTGACTCCGACTATACATTTACTTTTGTTGATGTTGGGGCAGTAGGAAGTCAAAGCGATGGTGGAATTTTCGCCAAAAGTGCTTTTGGGAAAATGATATTAAGAAGAAACATCGTATTGCCTCCTCTCGATCACCTTCCGGGTAATTAAATAATCTGAATTTTGGAAATAACTTAATTTTTTATGATTACAAATACTTTCCATATTTAGGTACAAATAAAGACTTCCAGTATTTCTTTGTGGGGGACAATGCTTTTCCACTTAAGGAAAGCCTTATGCGTCCATATCCTGGCCGGAACTTGTCGCCTCTGAAGCAACACTACAACAAAAAGCTATCTTCCGCCAGAGTTTACATCGAAAATGCGTTTGGTATATCAGCGAATAGGTGGAGAATATTACATAGCAATATACATGCAGCACCAAAAAATATTGACAAAATAGTGTTAGCAACAGTTGTGCTACATAATTATCTCATGCTAGACAGGAGCTCGGGATATTTTACTGAAGAGTTGGTGGACCATTCGGAAAATGGTGCTTTCGTTCGAGAGACGAATTGGCGGAGTATTTATTTAATAATTAAGCCAGTATTTTCTGAAATTTTATTAATTTTTTATTAAATTTCTTTTTGATTCCATAAAATTCATATAAAATAACAAAAAGCGTTCTTATTTAAAAATAACAATTGCACTATAGTGTAACAAAAAAACAATTCATAAGAAATATGTACATATACAAGTAATGAGTAAAAATTCAAATTAAATACTAAGCTGACTAACGCATTGCTCTAAAAAATTAAAAAATAATACATAAAAAAATTATTTCAGATAAACACTTGTAATATCTAGTTTCCTAATTCGTGTATAGTGAATGAAAGGCTACTATTTTCGCCTCAATTTGTCCTACTCGTTGAGGGGTTAGGTTAGCCTCACTTATGTTCCTCGCCAAGCTTTTAAATAACAGTGACGTTGCATCCTCGTGTTCTTTTACAGTATCCACGCACTCCTTCATCATGTCAGTGAACACATCGTTAACGTCATCCCTTGCTGCCTTCCTTTTTCTTTGTTTTGACGCATTTGGAGTAGTGTAATAACCTTCTGGAGGAGGACTTGTCCTTATACTTGCTGAAGTAGAACACTCTATTTCTTCCATAATTGCGTCAAAAGGCACGTTGCCGATGGTTCTATTAAGTGGAAAAGATTGAATTATAAGAATACAAATATGACAAATGTAATATTTACTCTCGAGAATCACTGTAGCCGTAAAAAAAACTCAATGTGTTCATATATTTCCATGTTTTGCATGGAATCGGAGCACCACTGCCGGAAGCCAGTCGCTGCGCACGTTTACGTTTTTTGTACGTGTCACGTAGTCCTTTCCATCGTTTCCTACAATTTTCTTCTGCAAATATTTATAATACTTTAGAATAAAGATTATAATATAACAGGCTTTTCTTTGACTCACCCGGCAAATTTACTATTTTCGCTACTTCTTCCCAAATTTGGGTTTTTTTAAATACATTTTTATAATCCGGTGAGGATAAATTGTAAATGCACTCATATTTGCGGATTTCCTCTATTAGTTTTTCGTTTAAATCCATTTCAGCCACCTAGTGCGTACTTCGCGTTTAAAAATATCACAATGTTTTGATTTTGAAATTGAAATAAAACCAAACAGAAACAATCTTAATATTGCCAGCGCAGACATTTTCTTGCATTTGTTTTGAAAACTCTAAAGATTTTACTGAAAATAAACTTTCTTTGATATGGCAATGCCGTTTTTGCCGCCGCGGTCGGCGATAAATTTAGAAATAGCTCTGAATCAAAAATCGTCATGGTGGGCGAAATTCGCCGCCGTCGCGTATTGTGTTAATCTTCGTATACAATCGTGTGTTCGAATCACCGACGGCATCGCCGAGTACGACGAATATTCGCCGTCGCCCGTATTGTGTTTATAGCAATATGCGTATTTAGGTAACGGTGATCAGCATCAGGTGATGATGCTCGCAATATGTAATGCATTATTATGATAGTTTAATTAATGTATGTAGGAGAGATAGCAGTAGTGTAACTCTTAGGATAACAATGTAAAGTAGAATGTAGAATTACTTAACCCTTAGTTGTACTAACATAAATGAACTTAATTTTAACCTGTGAATGCATGAATTAAATAAATTTAAAGATATATTTAATGTGGGTGTCGCCACATATCTCCCCTGTGGAAAAAAAAGGAACATGATAGTATGATTTTTTGTATGAATATATTTGACTTCTATGTATTGTAGTAGAAGGATCAGGATTAATGTCGCCGGTAGTTGTATTGCATAAGTTGCATCTAGATGGTAGGTGTTTAATATCGTCACTACATAGATAAGCTGGTTTTAGCCGATCAATAGATATGTGTGCATATTTTCCATATAGTAGTACTTTGTAGTATTTTTCGTAACGCTCAATGACTGGGAAAGGTTCGTCGTATGGTGATGAAAATGATTGTTTGACTTTGTCGTTTCGAATAAAAACATGTGTTGAATTTGCGAGATCCTTTGAAATAAAGATTTTCTCTCGGTTATGTCTAGAAGCCGGCGTAGGCGTTAGATTTTGAAATGCTTTTCTTAGCGTTTTGACGAGTTCAGGTGCTTCAATGGTTTTATTTGATGGTGTTAAAAACTCACCTGGGAATCGGACTGACTCACCAAAAACTATTTCTGCTGGTGTGGCTTGGACGTCTTCTTTAAATGCAGCTCGTAGTCCTAAGAGAACTGCAGGGAGTGCATCGTACCAACTGTCGTTGTGGCAGAGAAGAGATGATTTGAGCTGTCGGTGAAAGCGTTCGATAATTTCGTTTGATTGTGGGTGGTAACTCTTTGTTCGTTGATGTTTGAAACCGAGGAGATCAGCGAGTTTTCTGAAAAGGTCTGACTCGAATTGTCCTCCAAGGTCGGTTGTTATTCGAAGTGGAACTCCAAAGTAGGATATCCAAGACTGCATGAGTGCATGTGCTACTCTGTCGACTGTGCCGTCAATAAGTGGTGCGGCTGCTGGGTAGCGTGTGAATCGGTCAATTATTGTAAGACATTTGGTGTGTCCTTTTGAAAGCAGGAGTGTCACCAAGTCTATATGAATGTGTTCAAATCGACGCGAAGGTGGTTGGAATGTTGCGATGGGCGAAATCTTATGGCGTGAAATATTATTGCGTTGACATTGAATGCATGCTTTGGTCCATGTAATGCAATCCTTGTTGATTGATGACCAAACGTATCTTTGATGAGGCGTCTTGTAGCTCGACGACCTGGGTGTGCGACTGAATGAAGAGTCTCGAAGATTCGCCGTCTTAGTTGTTGTGGAACGAACGGACGTGCTGTACCTGTGGATATGTCGCAGTATATAGGAATGTCCGTGGTATTACTATTGATTTGCGTAGCTGTAGTGGTGTGTTAGAGTTGCGGAGCAGTTGTTGAAGGTTCCATGGACGGAAATGATATGTCCTAGAAATTCGATTTCTTTGAGACCTAGGCATGTTTTTGTTGTGTTGATGACTAAGCCATAGTGCTGAAGGCGCTGAAAGACGATACGCAAATGTTCTTTGTGCTCTGTTTCATTGGCAGATGCGACCAGTAGATCATCGATGTATGCGAAAACGAAAGGTAACGTTTTATGAACGTCTTCCTCAGCTACTGGAATTTGGTTGAAAGCACGGATTAGGTCGATGGTTAAATAGCATGATGTTCCGTGTAAATTTGCGGTGAAATCTTCTAAGCATCGAACTGGGTAGCGATCTGGTATGGTAAGTTCGTTGAGGCGACGGTAATCGCCGCATGGGCGCCATTCTCCACTCTTTTTGGGCGCGAGATGTAGAGGTGATGACCATTGACTGTCTGATGGTCTTGCAATACCCAGGTTGATCATCTTTTGAAACTCAGCTTTCGCGATTTTTAGTCTTTCGGGAGCTAATCGTCGAGCACGGCTGCTGACTGGAACGCCAGGAGTTGTCTTTATGTGATACTGCGTTGTGTGCGAAATTTGTTTCGGTTCACCATCGGGACGTGTAACTTAGGGTATTCGGCAAGCAATTGCCAAAACCCAGATGATTGATTCGGCTGTTGGAATTTGATCGACTGTACAGTCACGTTTCTGGTTGTGCCTGAGGTGCATAGTCGAGTGGTTTCGTCGATGAGTCGTTAATTTTTGAGACCGACGAGGATGCCGTAGTGGGAGAGTAAATCGGCGCCAATGATTGAATGGAGATATCTGCTAGTATGAAGCGCCATGTTAGCGCTCTGCGAAGGCCGATGTTTAAAACGATTGTTACGACACCGTAAGTATTAACGGGTGTTCCGTTAACTGCGATGAGTTGGTAGCCGGTCGCCATCTTCGTATTTGTTGCTCGTCTGTGGGGGTAAACTGAAACTTCGAAACCTGTGTCCACTAGAAACTGCGTGTGTAAGTGGCGGTTCGTGAGGAAGAGGCGGTACGATGGTGGAAGAGAGATGCTTTCCGCCGCTAACGTCTCTCCGGTTCGTTTCCCGCTTGTTTGCAACCAGGTTTGCATTTTTGAGCCAGGTTGCCAAACTTTTCGTGGTACCAGCAGGTGTTGCTGGTTGACAAGGCAGGAGAAACCGATCTGCTTCTGTTGATATTATGTTGACGAAAACGTTTTCGTCCAGTGGTTTGATGGGTGTCCAAAATCTACTGAAGATATTTCATGATGTTAGCGAGTTGCTGCTCTACGCCTGTAGGATTGATGCCTTGAATTTTTGTGAGCGATGTTGCTGCTATGTGATGCCCTTGAGAAGGCCTAAGAACGTGGTGTAAACGATCCGCGGCTTCGCTTAATGTTTGTAGCTCGGCCGTGCGTTGTGTAACCAAGCATGCTCGCATTTGGTCGGGGAGATGTGAAAGCCACCTTGCTTTTAACACTTCCTCGTCTATGTCTGAAACTAGACTTCGAAGGTGTCGAAGATGTTGGGAAGGCGTTCTGTCGCCGAGACACTCACCGTCCAGAAGTTGTAGGATTTTTGCTTCACTCGACTTTGAGTAGCAAGCAATTAGTGCGGTCTTTAAACGTTGATATGGCTTATCGGTTGGAGGATTTAAAATAATGTCCTCAGCGTCGGCAGCTATGCGCGTGTCAATCAACGGGATTGTGTGGTGAAATTTGTCCACTTCGTTCGTGACGTTGTGTTTGCGAAACTGTGATTCTAGTTGTGCGAACCAGAGGGCTGGCCTGTCTTGGTTGAAGTTTGGAACACATATTGTCGCAGGGCTGGATTTGTTTCCCAGGAATATGGAAGCTTTCGGTAGGCGTGGTCGTCATTCATTTCCGATAATTTTTAGTTAATAAATATAGAAAATAACGAATAATAGTTACGAAATGTTTGCACTGATAATGCAAAACGCTGCCAGATGATGGTTAGGTGGTGTGACTTTAGCATGATGTTACCTCCAGTAGTGTGGCCGTTATTGGTAACGGGGTGTTTGCTGTAAATTCCACCGTTGATCCAAGATGACCGCCAAAGTCCAAGTCGGGGTCACCAATTGTGGTATCTTGGTTTATTTAATACACGTCTGGACGACGTGATATCCAAAATCCAACTGACATGCTTAGCTTAGGATTTAATATCTTAAATGCGTATTTAGGTAACGGTGATCAGCATCAGGTGATGATGCTCTCAATATGTAATGCAATAAGAGAGATAGCAGTAGTGTAACTCTTAGGATAACAATGTAAAGTAGAATGTAGGATAACTTAACCCTTAGTTGTACTAATATAAATGAACTTAATTTTAACCTGTGAATGCATGAATTTAAATAAATTTAAAGATATTTTTAATGTGGGTGTCGCCACATATATATGTATTTATATGTGTTTGCCATATATGGTGTTAAAAAAATCCGGAAATAATCCACGAGACGGAACTTCACCCAGAATGAGTCAATGTGTGGTACGCAGTTTCATCAAGGTGTATTGCCGGGCCAGAAGCAGATGCCCTAAAGACGTATTCCTTTCAATAACGTTTGGTTCCAGCAAGATGGAGCAACTGAACACATAGCCAGAGGTGTACAAAACAAAAGCCAAAAATCTGACTGAATTGAAGCGGTCCATGTAATCGATGATAGAGGCAATCCCGACTTCAACCCTTCAGGCCGCAATGAATAATTTTCTTATTACGGTCCGTAATTTTTAAAAATAATTAATCATATAAAATAAAATTTGCTATACAAAAAACACCAAAAAAAAAAAGTAATGTTGAGTGTGCCACCCTGTATTAAAATACACATGTTCTTATGTGTACAGATATTTAGCCAACAGCACTACTTCACGGCAGCAGGCTTGCAGTTGTCGCTGTCGTTAAATTAAAACACTTTCTAAACTGCCGACGACAATAGGCAGCTGGAGTAATGCCACTGATATGTCAAATGTAAAAATATTCAGCGCTCTAACAAGTCGAACGTTATTTTACCAACATAAGCATAAAATTACATTGACATAATATATCATTTGTAATAACAATTGATAATTTAAAACAATGAATTAATAAATATTTTTGCACAAAAAATTTCACTTTGTGAAAGGTTTTAGTACGGCAACAAGGAAATTGTATACATCAGTTGTTTGATATGTCTCTGCCCTCCTCGAAATGTAGAAGAAGTTGGCTTCAAGACGACATTTGCAGACAAGAAAAGTCTGCAGTCGGCTTTATGTTCGAAGCATATTGCTTATCAATGCACCTGACATTTAGTGGACTGTATTTTTTCTATTTAATTTATTTTTTACAGATGTACATATATTTGGGTACTAATGTACGTGTGTAAAACATATAATTTTATATACACATATATAAATTTATCTCATGGTATGAAAGTTTTTATGTTCAAGTTTTTATGAACAAGGGTTGTCAAATAAGCTGTTACTTTATGATACCGACGAGGGTCCTAAAGAGTACAGAGTAAGAGTACATA